CCACAGTATTGCCAGTAAACTTATTTTAAACCTTGACCTTGTGTCATATGTGATAATTATGTTGGTGCACAGAAAAATCCCTTTTTGTTGCATGAGTCAAGCTGGAAATAATTTATAAAAAATGAGTATAGATTATAGGATCACACACATTAACTGTGACTTTCTTTTAATTAGTAAAAAAATAAAATCATTAAAATAGATATAAAACCTTTTACTTTTGTATTTGCAACCTAGAACACTGAACTATCTTTTTTTTTTCTTTTTTTTTTTAAGATGTAATATTTATTTTTGTGAGTTCAAGGAAAAATGTTTCTCTTATAATCTTAAAACCTTAAATAGAATATAAAACATAACATATATACATGTGTTCAAAAAATTTCTCGATTAGTTTAAGAGTTTTACTTTTCTATTGTTTTCCATTTTGGAGTTATGATGCCAAATGATAGATAAACCAACTTGTGCATATTACCTTTTATTTGCATAGATTTACTTTGTTATTTTAGAAAAAAGGATGATATCTATACATATTACAAATTTCCCGAGACTGAACATGAGATTCTAATTTACTGTTAATCAGCTTATTCTATTAAAGGTTTACTTAATCTGGGAAAATTTCTCAAAAGAAAAGGTATTTTCTGAAAAGGTATTTATAAATATCTTAAATAGTTTCTTTATTAACCCCAGACTCATCTAAATTTTCTCAAAATTCTTTTAATGTGATAAAAGAAAAAATAATGTACATCATGTAATTTATTCAGCAATGTGGTGTAACAATATATGGTCATGGCTGGTGAGATCAAAGAACACATCTCCTGTATTTTGTAACATGTTATTATTGAAGGAAGATGTTACATTTCACAGATCACATGACCAACAACTAAGTGTGCATCATCAGCTGTTGATGTAGATTTGGTTTAGTACCTGTTTATATTTCTGAGATGAGGTATTATGTACACTATTTACATTGTTTGGACTATTGTCCTCATCTTTGTCACCATATTTATTACAACATTTTAGCCGTTGTACGTTGTAAGTTCTCCACCGACTTAAACAATACCTGGTTAAGGTGGTGGAGAACTTGGAGAGGGGAATTAAGCAGGAGATAACTGATAACTGACATCCGTTAGACATGGCACGTGGAACTAGAACAGTCTACCCCAGTGAGCGAAATAAAAGGTTCAGTTCGACATTCCAACCACCTGAAGAAGGCTGGAGCATACAACAGCCAAAACGTTGTAATAAATATGGCGACAAAGATGACGACAATAGTCCGAATAATGTAAATAGATTTGGTTCAGGAATGCAAGTATAAATGCCATCAGTTGTACATTCATGTAGGTTTTTTTCTTGATTTTCTTTTTTTTAATGGTCAGTACTAGGAAGATGCTGTCATCCACACCTTTGGGAATAGTTAGATGACTTGAAATAACAAAACCTTGTCATTTGTTCAACCTTCTTTTCCTTCAGACATTTCTTCAGTTTAACAACTCGACTGAAGGATACAGTTAGCAATCAAAAACAGTATAACTAACTTTTATTACTTGTAGTGCACCTATAAATTTTATATTTGTACTCATTAACCTTTTGAGCCCTGACCACCGTTTTACCAGTGGTAGAGAAAAATTACATAATGCCCAGTCTCTCGTTGAACAGTGGTAAAGAAAAATGACTTAATGCCCAGTCCCCAGCTGAACAGTAAGTACTTGTAACTATTTTTATATCTACTGTGAAACACTGCATACCAATTATTTGCGAATTTTGACTCAGGAGCTCTGGGAGTAGGGTTAAAATTGTTCAAGAAGGCAAGGGTTAATCATTATTTTTTTAACAATTGAAATTTATTAAACATAGTATAGATCATCCTATAATAAAACCTAAAAAAATGACAAAAATACCCCTTTTTAAGAAATAGGGTACAATTAATGAAACTACTCACCAAATAACATTAAGTAAGAATTACATTCACACACTGCATCTGAGGGAAATCTTATGATAAAGCACAACAACATTTTTAATTCCTTTCCAAAATTTGGTTCTTGTAATTCTTTGAAAGTGAATGAATCCCTGTTCTCTTTTCTCCTTTCAAATTCTTCCATTTTTTTTTCTCAGAACTTGCTCACATTCTTTCTTCATTCACAATTTTATGTTCCCTTATTTGATATTTTGCTATAATGACAATTTACAAAATGTTTCTCACTTTTACTATTTATCTGATTGTATTTTTCCTCTTCTCTGTAAAATGTATTGGATCCTTATAATGTATTGGATCCTTATAATGTATTGGATCCTTATAATGTATTGGATCCTTATAATATGACTAAAAAAAACAAAACAAATTCTCTTTTACCCTGCATCACTCATGTATCTGTTTTACTTACTCACTTCTCATAAGATTTTATCCATCTATGCTTTCTCTTAAGAAATATTTCTATTTCTTTTCCCTATATATATAATTATTATTTCTTCAACAATAAAATTTTAATTTTGTAAGGATCTTAAAAACCTTATATGTCACTTATCATTTTCTCTTCTCTTAAAAACTTGTATTTTTTTACTCCTTTTACTGTACTTACAACCAATTTCATTTCTACTTGTCACATAGAATTAAAGAAATAAAATTGTATAGTAATGGTTATAAATTTAAAGTAAAGGCCAAAGTAAAAAAAAAGAAGTTTTTAACAAATTTGCAATTATGAGAGGAGTTTGTAATTGCCATTGGTGCAAGAGTTAATTGTATTATTTGCTTTATTAATTCATTAGTAAGTGAATAGGTAATTGATTATCCAAATACATTTGTTGGTGATCAATAATCTTCATTAATGATTGTCATACTGAACAGTGAACATTACTGCCTTCCCAAATGTTTATTTTCTTTTTGGTTGTCAAATTGAATGGTGCTGTAAAGTCTATGAAATCATTATGCAAGATATGGCTGAATAAGTTAGGAATAATAAAATCAAAAGTATAAATATTAAAAATGCTGCAGCTGTTTAAGAAAAAATAAATAAAGAAAATCCTGATACCATTGGTTAGAAAGAAAATAAAACAAACTTCCTTGTTATCTACGAATGTCCATCTACAGTACATGTAGCCGTCATTCTAAATTTGTTGCAACAATAACGATGGCGTTTTTTTTTTAACAATGCTGAAGTCAGGTGATAATTACTTTTGCAACTTTTCTAAATTTTTGCTTAAGATTTTAGAAAAATCAGATTTTTCATATTTATTCATTCATTATATTTGTAAAAACCTCAAAATATATTGTTAAAATTTTTATAATCTTAAAAATTAAAAGAGTGTATTGTTAATTAAAAAATCAGAAATTATATCATTCTCTAAAAATCAAACATTTATGCACTTATATTCATCAAAGTAGTAATGATAGAAGGAACAGTTTTTCTTCCATGTAGGCTCCTTATGAGTTTAAAAACTATTTTAATATACTTCACCACTACCTATAGCTCACTGGTTTAAATAAAACCTATCTTTATTTTTTTAAAATCTTTATTCTTTATTTTTTTTAAATCAGAAATCTTAAAATCTTAATAATGGTTTTAAATATCTGTTTAGAATATGAATTTGAAATATTTTAGCTCATTTCTATGTTAACATATACATCTATTCAAACATCTAGAAAAAACAACCTTATCTCTTAGTCCTAAATTGGTTAAATTGATGCACATTAGAAAGGGAAAAATGATTTTTTTAGGTTTCTTGACACTTGTTAATTATATAGCAAGCTTTTCATGAATCCAAATGCAATATTATCACAGGGTAACTATCTTGGATAATCTATTCTCTGTGATTTTGTTTTTTGTTTTTCTTTCTAGATGTAATAAACCACATGTCAATTCTTATTGATATAATTTGTACAAGGGGATGCTGAAAAGTTTGCATTTTGGTGATGTTTCTGATTGTAGAACAAAAAATTCAGTTAATATTTCTCTTATGCTTTATTCGAAGAGAATGCAAATTATTAAGTATCTTCAAACAAAGTTATTTTGGGATTTGCTGATTTAATTGAATATATGAGACTGAACCAGAATATCTGCTATGAAGTCAGGTAACAATTTTTCTTTTTGTCTGACCAAGATTTAGTTTGTATTTTAAATGAATTCAAAGGATTAACTTTATTAGTGATCTGCTTTTCAAACATAATCTCCATAACGAGAAATTCGTCAAAATTACTGATTATCATTATTTTTGAAGTCAAATATTTGTAGTAGTTGCCTAAATAAAACAGTATCAGATATTAAAGTGTTATAGACAAGCGTATGGTTGCAAGAAAGAAATACGACAACAGCAGAAATAGATATACGTGATTTATTTCAACAGGAATATGTGGGTTTGGGACAGCTACCTTGTGGTAAAGTTCATAAGCCGGCTTCAAATCTGGATTGATCTCTCATAGTAGTTCACACTGGTTGGCGCTCCCCCCTGCTGACCGCTCAGCCTGACCATGACAGGTCTATTCCCTAGCCTCCTGTTGACTGCCGTTGTACTTCCGTGTGACCCCTTTTATGGCATTTTTTTATGGCTTAACAGGCTCGAGGGAAGCATTTTTATTGGTCGAAAAATAGAAACACTTTAAAATATTATTTTATTTTTCGACTGGAACTCGTGCGTCGGGAACATGCGTAAACGAAGATAATGGTCATTTTGTGATGGGGCCTTGTCCCGTTCACATCCGTCTCTCACTCTTAAGTATGTTAGTTTATTTGCCTGTAAATCAGCCGAGATATGTCTTATTTTATTTTATAACAAAAGCATCACCATTGTTGCTGTAAAATATTCATCTGGGTGATTAAATAACTACAAACTTTTGAGGCCTTTTTAAATTTTATTGCTCTAAGATATTATACCTTAGTTCCTGTGGACAGTAGTTGATTTCCTTCTTGTAAAGAGGTGAAATATCAAAAGGGGAAGCAATAAATCTCAAAAGCAAATCAATATTTTTATTAGTATTATTAATTGTATACTTAATTTCCTTTTTATTTCAGTGTGATGTTCTACAACTATGCTGGAGGAGTGATAGCGCTCAACCGAGAGAATGTAAAGAAAATAAATGGTTACTCTAATCTATACTGGGGATGGGGTAATGAAGATGATGATTTATCAGCCAGGTAAGAGATTTTATTTTATCTTTGATATGAATAAAATGAAGCATAACATTAAATATAACAAATATTGAATAGTAGGTCTGTATCAAGTTTGTTAAATTGATGCAGCCAATGAATCAAAGAATTAAATACCTGACAATATCTATAAACATTATTAGTGATTTATGCACAGATTGTAAAAAAGATTTAACATTTTTTCCCACAAAATTTTAATTTTTCATATATTAACATTCTATATAGTCTCAGGTAAAATATGTTTTCTTCTTTTCCATTTCTCTATTTACAAAAGATGTATGCTTTTTATGTAATAATTCATGTTTAACATAAGAATCAAAATCAGTCCTTTCAGTTCACAATAAAATTAAGAATTTATAGAGGTTACAAGGTTATCACTTACAAGGCTATTAGGTTATTTTTTGATAATTTCAGTTACCTCTATATATAAGGTATAATTGATTTGGGTGTATATAGGCCTTGAATATGATTAAAAGAAAATGCACAAAGTGTTGATAAACACTAAATAAGTCTTTATATACACAATATAACAATACAGAAGGACGCAGTGAAGTTGAAGTTTCAAGAGTTCAGCTGTAAAAGTTCTAGCACATACTAGAGATAGAGAAAAAGTCCAATAGGAAGGAAATGTATGTATGCGATGTAATGGAATAACCTGTCACCCCCATGACAGATACTTTTAAGAAGTAACTCCCTATAAGTATCTGTAAGTCAACGGACTACAGAGACTAGCTGGGATCTGTTCCAGCTAAACAGCTGAACTCTCTACCTTTGGGCAGAGAGGAACCCGGACGAGGCTCCGCCAAAGAGCAGAGTCTTGTTCAAGGAGGTAGACTGCTGCTGAACTCGTTTATACAGATTCAAAAGGGAATATTTTTGGCTGAGCTTACAGGCTTGGTGAACCTATGTTAAACCAGCCTTGTGGCACAGGCAACCCTCATTGGGGGGTAGCTAAATATACTAGCTGGGATCTGTTCCAGCTAGACTGTTGAACTCTCTGCCTCTGAGCAGAGAGGAACCCTTCAGCAGAGCCTCGTTCAGGGAGGTAAACTGAGCCTGATCCTGTTTATACGGATTCAAAAGGGAATATTTTTGGCCGAGCCTATGGGCTCAGAAGACCCACATTAAACCCGACCTTGTGCCACATCTACCCTCATGGGGGGGGGGGGGCTAGTAAATACCAATTAGCTGGGATCTGTTCCAGCTGTGCTGTTGAGCTCTCTACCTTCGGGCAGAGTGGAACCCGGACAAGGCTGTGCCAAAGGGCAGAGTCTCATCTGGGGAGGTAGACTGACCCAAACCCATTTATGCAGGTTCTACAGGGAAATTTTGGCTGAGCCTACAGGCTTGGATGAGCCACATTAAACTCAGCTTTGTGCCACATCTATCCTCATGGTAGGGGATGGCTAGTAAATATTGACTAACTGGGATATGTTGAGTACGACTCAGACTTACGTGAGAACTACTGACCTTCCAATAGTAACCCTCACTACTAGATTGACTTGCATAACTGTTACCTTTATTCTTATTGCACTGGTTTTTTTACAATAAACATTTACTTATTTTATCCACCTTGTTTTTCAAGTATATATTCCTATTAGTACAGAATATAACAGTATGTATCCAAATGTATTAGCCACCACTTGACCAAACATTGAAGGAAGGTATGTTTGTTTTCAATGTAACAAAGGATGGTATAGTCATGTAAAGTTGCCAGCTAGTTGTACAAATGTTGTATTTCATCTCTGGGTATAATTCTTTATATATTCTTACAATGACTGCATGATGATACAGAATGGACAAAATTAATTTATCAACCCTGGTTCTGGTTGATTTTCTATCTGTTTATATACACATCTATAGATTCACTTTGAAAAGTCTGCTCACTTCTCATTAACTCACTGCATTATATCTTAGTTGTGAAATCTTTTTTTATTGTTTGGTTGAAGTATTTATTTTTAGAAATGGGGAAATTTTGGTCTCCTTCTTATTATTTCTTTTCTTATATCCTGGTTTTGAAAGCTTTCTGGTTGGTTGAACTATTGCTTTATTTACCTTCAGTTAATCAGTGAAATGAAAATTAATGATGAATTAATTGGTGTTGTAACTTTATTGTTAGATATTCATTTAGTATTTTTTTTTTTATAGACAAACAGATATATTCATTGCAGTTAATTCTATTTTGCAATAAATGACATTCTCTTTCCACAAATGAAAACGACTTATTGAAACAAGATGGCTGCTCTTAAGAAAATGCCTTATGTTATAGAATTAACTTTTGCTCCTTATTGAAGTACAAAATAAACTGCTTTCTATTGGTAGTTTCCCTATTGAAGAATCATCCAATCAAATTACTAACTTATCAGTTAACATATTTACTATTGTCTGGTATACTCTTTGGATTCTGACTGGACTATCTTGCTTCTAAATGTCTCAGTAGACATTCAAGAAGATTGAAAAAACTGAACAAGAATATTGTATAAAATTTTTGCCTGCTACTAGAATGTATACCTGTTCATGGTAATATACTTTTTATTACTAATAAACATATTATCAAAAATTGATATGTACACATTTGTTAACACAAAAACAAGACTTGATCAAAGTAAAAGGATTTTATGACTGTTAATACATGAATCATGTAGATATTGATAATGTAAATTATTTACATTCCTGTGTTTACCAAAAATCCCTATGGCTAAAAAATATTACTTTTTTTTAATCATTTCACCTTAAGCAGTAACCAGAAAATTGCCAAACTGGTATCCTCAGCCACTGATCAGTTAAATCACTAAAAAGTTAAATCATTATAATCATTATAAGGACCAGTAAGCCATATCCTAAACAGGAAACTAGGGATAAACCTCTACTCCTGTTCAATAAACATGGAAGGAGTACTGACTTGGTGATAGCTGAACCTATCTACTCCTATTAACCTGTTTACAGCACAGGATGCTGGGTGCTTTTATCATAACATTATCTCTAGGAAGCTTACTGAATAAGGCTCTAGATACCTTCTAAATTACTAAGGTTATCCTAAGATTTGAAATCAAAGTAATATTAACATAAAATTACATCACTTAATCTAGTTAGAATTAATAAAAATTTAAAGCTTAAATATACATGCACACACACACACACACACACACACACACACACACACACACACACACACACACACGTGTATATTTTACATTGGAACCTGGGATAAAGACTTTGTTGTCAAATGGACCACTTATTTTTACTATTATCATAATTTCTGTTTTAATGATGAATAATAGAATTACAAATTAAAAATGGTTACAAAGATTGTCTGTTAATGTCATGGATTTTAATCATTCAATATGATTCCTATTTCTGGAAGTAATACACTGTGAAGCAGACTATCGAAAATATGTGAAGGGTCACTACCTGAATTTAGCATTTATTGTATTTGGTGATTATAAAAAAAAATGTTGACTTCACTTTAGATCCTTATGTTCTACTTCAGCTGTACAAAAATGTAACTAAATTCAAGAAATTTTTTTTTTTTCATTTTTCTTACGTCTTAGTAAGATTTCAGGACAGATAAAATGGTGGTTAATGGTAAGCTTGCCTCCTATTGAATTTTGGACAAGATATATTAAATATTTAAAGGCACAAAGTAAACATATTTTTACTTGACCTTATATTTTTATTAATAAAATTATTAAAAACTACTTCTAACACTGCTAATAATTTATAACATTAGAAAAAATACATTATCTTAAATCATCAAGAGATTCATCAGTGATTTTTAATCTTTCCATTACAGTTTCATTTTATATTGAAAGTTTAAACATTTATCTTCTGAATTTACAAACCAAACAATATCTCAATAGGTTTTTTTTATCTTAGTTAATAGCCTAAACAATTATGGTATATAGAAATGAAGTAATGACCAAATTTACTGTCTATAGTATCATTTATTGTTGACTCCATTTGGTTACAGTGTTTAAAATGGTTGACTATCATCATAGTTCTTTTCCTTTGATTTGAGAGTCCATACAGGGTTGCTGTGTTCCTTCTGGTTGATGGAAATTAATTCGTTGCATTCATCCTTTCTTCTTTCTCTTCTGAAGTTGTACGTCAGGTCAAACTCACAGCTGATGAATCACCAACCCTTGCGTCTTGAACTGCTACCTTGAATCAAGTTCCTCTCCATGGTGGCATCTCTAGTCTCATACATGGTTTTCTTCTTTTTATTGGGACTGACACATCTGTGTTTCCCGTTTGATTTTTGGTGGGATGTGTTGTCATTGGTTGATTTTTCTATGATGTTCACTGACCCACATAAACTAAGTCCAGGTTCATGTCTGTTACTGAGGATAGGAACAATAGAAGAAAGGAAAGGAAAGGAAATATATAAAAGAGAGGGAGAGAGAGTTTTGTTTGTCACTCACTTAGTAAAGAAGAAAGTGTATATTTTCATATGGTGTTATTACTACCTAATCCTACTACACAAACATAGTATCAAATATTTCCTACCTTTTCATTTGCTATTTTTAGGAGACTTTTACAATTAATTTTTTCGATTTTCCTTTCTTCCTTTTCAAATAGAAAGAAAGAATATATAATAGAAAATACTTATTTGAAAAGTGTTTAACATTTATTTTTAGAGTAGCTTCAAGTCTAAACCAACTAATACTAAGTATTGTTGCCAAAAATATGCTCAAGTTAGACTATTTCTGGTCTTTAAAAGAAATTCCTTGTTACCATGTCAACATCATGTAACTGAGAGATTAAAATCTTCATTGTCTTAGCTCCTCTTTGACTGTATTTTCTCATGAGTTTAATTCTATTTTAAAAATTATCAAAAAACTTTTCATAGGAACTCTGGGTGCAAAAAACAGTCTATATTATATGTCTACAATATTTAAAATATTATTTAATATTTTAAATATTATTTGATATTTTAAATATTATTTAATATTTTAAATATTGTATAGATATAATTTTTTTATTTCATC